CATGGGAACAAATCTTTTCTCAAGATTCTCCAATATTGCTGTCATACTCCAAATTTATCCTACTCCTTTATAAAGATCATCTGCCTTATGTATCTCGCATCCTACATGTACATACTCCCCAATAGGTCATATAACATTACATACATAATTAATTAATAATTTGACATGGGATCAAGGATCATTAAGATCAGGGTTTTTACATGGTGTAAAGTTTGCATATCAAGAGAGTTTGATTCAACTGGTGTTTTCATTGAGCACGGATTAAGACTATGGTTTTGAGTCTCCTTAACGCACAAGATCATGTCTTCATCAATATTCATCAAAGGCCAAAGGTTTCAAATCCCTTGTATCCATGCATGTAAATGTTTCAACTGTGGTTCATTGGGCTTCATGCCAAGGTTCTCTTCTATGCTTCAAGTATTAGTTGCACCAAAGGAATCGATGCATTGCTATTTTGTTGCTCATTAAGTCAAGACATGTTACAATATGTGATTTGTGGATTCATTGGGATCAAGGAAGTATTATTCTCAAATTGTTTGTTATTTTAGTGCAAGTCGGGGGATTGAATTGAAATTAGGGTTTCTTTAAGAAGTGAAGGTTGATTTGGGATTCACTGTTGGGAAGTATTTACTAAAGGGACTACCTAATGTCATGAATTCTCTAATGTTATGAATTCAAATTCGTGTTTAAATTATTCAAATGTATCAAAGTTGCTTGAGTGTGCACAAGGTTGGAAGGTCCACTCATTTGGATTTCTCGGAAAACAAGTTACGAGATAAAGGCATACATTTTGGTTCAAATATTGTTGAAAGGCATTTTCAAAGTTATCAAGATTTTAAGCGCAACATCAAATTACCATTCAACATCATTTATCAAATTTTGAGTTTCAAGTACAATTCATCAATCTTAGTTTTGCAAATATCCATTATCATTAATTCAAACTTCTGATGTTCATACAACCGTGTCTGTTTTATAGGCAAAAACCATAGGAATACACTTGCCAAAACCTTCATCTAACCAAATCACCACCATATATGTCTTCACCTTTTCTTGAAGTCATACTTCCATCATCTATCATCTAAGTACTATGCCATGGTCCAAATCCCATTCCCTTGCTAGCACCAATGCCATGGTATCACGTTGCTTCAAATTTGCAGCCAGATAATGTCGCAAACATACACCAAAACAGCTTGCCCTGCACATCAACACAGAAATTTCACAGGAAAATCATTTCATTAACCAGTATATCAGTTCAGAAAATCCAAAGCAATTAACAAAGGAAACCAGGACTGTTTATGAGTCTGTTCAGAATGTTGAAACAAAAAATCAATCAAATGAACTAACTTCGAATTCCATCCAACCAACTTGCAAATTGACCTGTAAAGGACATACAAACTGTCATGCTTCAAGATAGGTACATAGATCAAAATCTTAGCAAGATTCATGGCATAGTTTCAAGTGAACTCAAAAACTTAAGATGGAATTCAGTGCATACAATATCATGAAGAAACGATCACTTACCATTCCAATACAGCTCTGTATTCACGTTGCATCAAGTGTCAAATCAAGCCAAAGGATGAACCTTACACATTTGTTTGACATGTCATCAATTAAACCTGCATAATACAAACAGTAAGGCAACATTTTCGGTTCAGCAGCAGATCTTCAAGTATACACTCAAAGCTAATACAAGGTTATGATTGAGTAAAGGCTTAACAGAAAAAATATAGAAAGATAAATAATCCAAAGCAGCCTTGCGCCAAATGAATACCAAGTAATTTAAGAGGTAATTCTCCAATGTGGCGTAAACTTGGGGCATGTATTCAAAGAGATCCACATGGTATTCAATATTTGTTCCTCGGCATATTCAATTCTACCATCCTCTCTGCGATTCAGGATGTAGGGAAGTCGGGCCAAATCATCTCTTCCCCAACAATAAAATTCGGAATTCAGCGGCGTACCTGAAAACTCGCTTTGTCAGTAGTTCAATCCCAGTGGAGTTACCAAAAATCTTTGGTATCACGAACTCCCTGTGCAAATCCTTATTGGTATCCCTAGTGATCCTTGGTATCGCAGGTTTCCAGCACCGATATGTATTTACATTCCTGGTGATGAGCAACAGTTCCCAACGAGCCTTCACTTATCCCCATGAAATCTATTCATTTGCATTGTATATAGTTATCACTGCATAACATTTCATCTTCAAAAGCGCGTAGTGGACCCATCAGAATGGATCTTTGCGGCAAAAGAAATTCAAACATGCATATGAAGCATAAGCCAGATCGGGTGCCTTACACGAAAGACCTGACTCATTAAAGACAACAATACATCCCCACAAGAGGATATCACTCCCAAACCCTCAGCTGACGTCCTTCTTTACATCATGATATCCAGCTAACGGTGTCAGTACATTGTACTTCCAAACATTCGTCTGTATTAGTTTCTAAACACTCGTCCGTGTCAGTTTTCTAAATATTAGTCTGTGTCAGTTTTCCAAACACTCGTCTGTGCCAGTTTCCCAAATACTCGCTCGTGTCAGTTTTCTGAATACTCGTCTGTATCAATTTTCCAAACATTTGTCTGTGTCAGTTTTCCAAACACTCGTTTGTGTCAGCTTTTCTAAACACTCGTCTATGCCTATTTTCCCTCCAGATCCCAATAAAATCAGTACAGTCAATTATCCCTTGTACCTTCAATCGTCGTGTCGCAATCAATGTTCTCACCTTAGGACCGTAGGTCTCCCGTAGATCTAGCTTTCCCCATATAGATCACCCGTAGGTCTCACCTTAGGATTGCATATCGCCTGTAGGTCTCTCCTAGCAAATCGCCCGTAGGTATCTCTTAGTAGATCGCCTGCAGGTCTCCCCTAGTAGATCGCCCATAGGTCTCGCTTTAGGATTGTAGGTCGCTCGTGGACCTAGCTCTCCTCTTGTAGAGCTCCCGTAGGTCTCTCCAAGCGGATCGTCCGTAGGTCTCTCTCTCTCTATAGGATCATAGGTCATCCGTAGATCTTATGTGTCATCTTTCCGTACCTATCTTGTCTTGTATTGGCACCATTACCACGTTACAAGTATGACATTTGTCTTGTATTGACATCTCCGCCACGTTACAAGTCGAATCTTTGTCTTGCATTGGCATCACCGCCACGTTACAAGTCTGACATTTGTCTTATATTAGCATCACTGCCACATTACAAGTATAAATTTGTCTTGTATTGGCATCACCGCCACGTTACAAGTCCAACCTTTGTCTTGTATTGGCGTCACCGCCACGTTACAAGTCCAATCTTTGTCTTGTATTGGCATTGTTGCCACGTTACGAGTTTACCTTTCCTTGTATTGGCATCACCGCCACATTACGAGTCCGCCTTTATCTTGTATTGGCATTGTTAATATGTTACAAGTGTACCTTCGTCCTTGTATTAGCGCTAATGCTACGTTACGAGTCGACCTTCCTCTTGTATTGGCATCACAACCATGTTACAAGTCATTAACTTTCCTTGTATTGGCATCACCGCCACGTTGCAAGTCATTACCTTTCCTTGTATTAGCATTATTGTTACATTACAAGTCAGTCTTTCTCTTATATTAGCCTCTGTTGCTACGTTATATCTTCGTCTTATATTAGCATTGTCACTATGTTATAAGTTACCCTAAAAATCCTCCCACGAAGAATAGAAAAGTCTTTCCCCAACAGATATTACAGAAACAAATAACCTACTCACGCCATCTTTTCAAGACAAATTTCAGGTCTTTGTATTTAATCTTCTTCTACCTTGAATGTCCGAAAGACACACGCAGATCGTACTTTCAGGTCTAAGAAGATTAAATATGGGCATCTATCATACCCTAAATTTGTCCTACCCCTTTATAAGGATCATCTGGCTTATACATCTCGCATCCTTCATGTACATACTCCTCAGTAGGTCATCTAACATTGCATGCATAATTAATAAATAATCTGGCATGGAATCAAGGATCATTGAGATCAGGGTTTCTACATGGTGTAAAGTTTGCATATCAAGAGAGCTTGATTCAACTGGTGTTTTCATTGAGCACGGATTAAGACTAGGGTTTTGAGTCTCCTTAACGCACAAGATCATGTCTTCATCAATATTCATCAAAGACCAAAGGTTTCAAATCCCTTGTGTCCATGCATGGAAATGTTTCAACTGAGGTTCATTGGACTTCATGCCAAGGTTTTCTTCTATGCTTCAAGTCTTACTTGCACCAAAAGAATCGAGGCATTGCTATTTTGTTTCTCATCAAGTCAAGACATGTTACAATATTTGACTTATGGATTCATTAGGATCAAGGAAGTATTATTCTCAAATTGTTTTGGGATTCACTGTTGGGAAATATTTTCGGTTGGAAAGTATTTACTAAAGGAACTACCTAATGTCATGAATTCTCTAATGTCATGAATTCAAATTCGTGTTCAAATTAGTCAAATGTATCAAAGTTGCTTAAGTGTGCACAAGGTTGGAAGGTCCACTCATTTGGATTTTTCGGAAAACAAGTTGCGAGGTAAAGGCATACATTTTGGTTCAAATATTGTTAAAAGGCATTTTAAAGTTATCAAGATTTTAAGCGCAACATCAAATTACCATTCAACATCATTTATCAAATTTCGAATTTCAAGTACAATTCATCAATCTTAGTTTTGCAAAGATCCATTATCATTCATTCAAACTTCAGATGTCCATACAACCGTGTCTATTTTACAAGCAAAAACCATAGGAATACACTTTCCAAAACCTTCATCTAACCAAATCACCACCATATATATCCTCACCTTTTCTTGAAGTCATCCTTCCATCACCTGTCATCCAAGTACTATGCCATGGTCCAAATCCCATTCCCTTGCTAGCACCAATGCCATGGTATCACGTTGCTTCAAATCTGCAGCCAGATAATGTCGCAAACATACACCAAAACAGCTTGCCCTGCACATCAACACAGAAAGTTCACAGGAAAATCATTTCATTAATAACCAGTATATCAGTTTAGAAAATCCAAAGCAATTAACAAAGGAAATAAGGACTGTTCATGAGTCAGTTCAGAATGTTGAAACAAAAAAGCAATCAGATGAACTAACTTCGAATTCCATCCAACCAACTTGCAAATTGACCTGTAAAGGACACACAAACTGTCATGCTTCAAGATAGGTACATAGATCAAAATCTTAGCAAGATTCATGGCATAGTTTCAAGTGAACTCAAAAAGCTTAAGCCGGAATTCAGTGCATACAATATCATGAAGAAACAATCACTTACCATTTGAATACGGCTCCGCATTCACCTTGCATCAAGTTACAAAGCAAGCCAAAGGATGAACCTTGCACATTCGTTTGATATGCCTTCAATTAAACCTGCATAATACAAATAGTAAGGCAACATTTTCGGTTCAGCAACAGATACTCAAGTATACACTCAAAGCTAATACAAGGTTGTGACTGAGTAAAGGCTTAATAGGAAAAATAAAGAAAGATAAATAATCCAAAGCAGTCTTGCATCAAACGAATACCAAGTCCAGTTTTCTTTAAACTTATGCCGATGGTTTAGCTTCTCGTGGTTCGTCTACATTCGAATTTTTGTGCCAAAAGGCTATACTTGAAGACTGTCATGGTACATTACCTCTGGCTGGTACTACCAATCTAATATGTTACAAAATCCTATTACGAATTTTAGTTCGTAATGGTCATGGTGTCTTTACGATTTGAATTCGATGCGAGCTTTCAACTAACTTTCCTAAATAACCTTATAACAGCTCTTAACAAATAAACACCCAATAACTAACTTTCCTAAATAACCTTATAACAGCTCTTAACAAATAAACACCCAATAACTAACTTCAGGATCCTACAACTAATAGTGCTAACTGTTTTTCTAAACAGAGCTAACTAACATTCAACTGCCGAATAAATCCCAACTAACTTCTAACTATCATTCTAAGTCAGCTCATGTAACAGCCTCATAACAGAATTTCAACTTTTCTAACTAACAGAAAGTCCTAACCGAAATTCTCACAGAGCCTTAACAGAAATGCTAGTTTCTAAAATCCAACTATAGCAACTTCTCAAGAGATAACTGAATCATAACAAAACCTTCTACACACTTCACAACCGCCATCCCCTCATAACAAAATCACCCTTCATTCTTCAGTTCGGTTCACCTTTTTCAACCACTATTCATTCACCAAAATCCTCAGAATTCTTCATCTTCTACGCACCATTTCATTCATCTTACTCTCATCTTCATCCTTCTTTCACCTTCATTCTCTTTATCTAAATCCTTCAACCTCCATTTTCTCAAACTCTTCTCCACCATTTTCACAATCCCCACCCTTCATTTCTCCGAACCCTGCTTCAATATCAACCTCACATCAACACCTCAGTACATCAACAATCGCAGCATACACGAAAGAAGCGATTTTTGGCGCAGCGGAGAAGGCTGCCGGAAATCGCACGAGAGAAAGAGAGAGGAAAGATATGTTTCGAGAAGCTGAAAGGTTACGAAATTGCAACCCTAGCACTATACCATCAAAACGCACGCCTTGCACTCTCTTTCCATTTTCATTTTCATTTTTTTTATTAATAATGATGGAAGTTGGATTTGGGTTAAAATCTGAAGTTGAATATTGTTGATGGATCGAAATTATAGCCCGCTAAGCCCATTACTGCTCTATTTTTTGAAGCTTGTTTGCAATTGAACAAAAAACTATTGGTTGACCTCACTGCACGTTGGGCCTTAGCACCAGTTTACTGGAATACACCACTGTTTGCAGAATTGCACCCTTGGACTTATTCTATTTGCAATTTCTTTTGAATAATTTTGTTAGTTGTTTAGATTTGTTAATTTTTTCTATAACAAAATTATAAAATCAGTAAAATTTGTTAGATCTTCTTAGTTTATTTTAAGAATTAATTCTTTAATTTTTGATAAAAAATTTTCTCAAATAAAAAACTAATAAAAAAATACTTTTTCGTTTAGTTTTTTTATTCATATTTTATGCCGTAATGCAGGATTTTTTAATAAATTTTTTAGTACATTTTTTACATTTTTTAGTGTAGAATTTGAATGTCATAATTATCATTTGATACATGCTTGCTTGTTGTATTTTTTAAATTTTTTTAAAAAACACACACACACATATATATATATATATATATATATATATATATATATATATATATATATATATATATATATATATATATATATATATATATATATATATATATATATATATATATATATATATATATATATATATATATATATATATATATATATATATATATATATATATATATATATATATATATATATATATATATATATATATATATATATATATATATATATATATATATATATATATATATATATATATATATATATATATATATATATATATATATATATATATATATATATATATATATATATATATATATATATATATATATATATATATATATATATATATATATATATATATATATATATATATATATATATATATATATATATATGGTTATAGTAGTTATACTAGAAAATAATAATTATAAATGATATTAAATAATTTTTTAATTATTATAAGTGAAATATTAAAATAGATTTTATTAGATTGTATTGTAAATTGTAAGAATTCATCTTTTCCTTTATTTCTCATCTATCGCAAAATACCATTCTGCTTTTGCAGCAGACGCTCAATAAACGCAGAGAATGTGCAGGGGTAGCGTGCATAGTATATGTAATATTAGTGTGCAGGGGTAGCGTGCATAGTATATGTAAAGTGTATACTTGTAGTGTAAAGTGTATGTACGGTTAATAATTTATGATTCAGTATATTTAATATATATTAATTATTTTATTCATGAAATATGATATATAGAGTAATTATTAATTAATAGGGGTGTTCGCGGTTCGGTTTAGATTGGTTTTAAGATAAAAAATCATTCGATTCAAAAATAAATTTATTTATGATTCGGTTTGGTTCGGTTCAGTTTTAGATGATATATTAAAAAAATCTAATCTGATCTGATCTAATTTTATGCGGTTTAATTTGGATTAGTTTTTAGATATCTAAACTACACATTATTAATATTATAAAACTACTAATAAATCATATATTTAATATAATATATAACATATAATATATTAAAAATTAATATTACAAAATAAGAGTGATTAATTATGATTGAAATAATATAAATAAATAAATTATAGTAAGTTAATAACTATTATTAAAAAAATTATTATCACCTAATAATAAGTTCACGTAACATATCATACTAATAAAAAGTAAATAAGTATAAAAATATATATATATATATATATATATATATATATATATATATATATATATATATATATATATATATATATATATATATATATATATATATATATATATATATATATATATATATATATATATATATATATATATATATATATATATATATATAGTTTAGTTTGGTTTGAATCGATTTTGAAAAATTAATTCGAAGTCTGATCCAAACTGGTCGATTTTTACAAAACGACATTTAAACACATCCAATAAATTTCGATTTTTTGTGATTTTTAGTTTTTTGAATCAATTTTCAATTTTTTTATTTGAATTAGTTTGAATTTGAACATTTCTATTGATTAGTAATTATTAAGAATGGAAAAAGATAATTAAGATAATAAATACCTTACTTAATTCGGTTACCAAAAAGACTAATGCTGGAAAAATTTAAATAGTTTATATACTTTTAAAGTGTATACAGGCTTGATAATTTACCATTCAATCACTACAAAAATATATGTCCCCAGCGACATATATTAGCGACGTGCTTATCACGTGGGTAGTAGCGACGTGATAACCACGTCGCTAATATATTTTAATGACATTTAATGGAATCTGATGAACGTTGTTGGGAGGGAAGTTTGAAATTTTGTAGCGACGTGTTAGCCACGTCGCTAAATTTTTGGGGGGAAAATGCGCAGTGTTGGACAGAGAAAAGTATTTATGGTTGCATTGTAGCGACGTGATTATCACGTGGCAACGTGGCGACGTGACAGTCACGTCGCTACTAGAAGTTACAAATGTTAACGTTTTGATTTACAGTAGCGTGCTTCTTCTTCTTCCTTTGCTTTCCTTTGCTTGCTTCCATTCCATTACAGCAACTCTCACAAACTCAAACCCAATTTTGCGAATTAATTTTCTTCCATTCCAATTTGTTGAAGAAATCTAAGGTATGCATGTGATGTTAAATGTTTATTTCGTTTTATCTTTAGTTTTTATACTGGAATTTAATTAACATGGTATTTGTTGGATTGTTCCTTATTATTTGTAGAGAAATTTGAAGAACACCAAGAACTAGAAGACGCAAATTTATTGAAGAAATTATATAGAGGTATTTATGCATTTTTTTTTAGATTTTATATGTATTATATAGATTAGATTTGTATATGTATTTTGTGGTAATTAGGAATATATGTATATACTGTTAGTAGTATAAAATTACTGATAATAAAAAAAATTTTAAAAACATATTTAATAACATATTTAATATATTTTTTGCATATGTAATTTGTATATGTAATTTGCATATTTTTTGCATATGTGATTTATATATTTTTTAGTAGTATATTTGTATATGTAATTTGCATATTTTTTAATAACATATTTAATATATTTTTTAAAAAATTTTAGAAAACATAAATTTAATAACATATTTAATAACATGTTTTTTATAGATGTAAATTGTATTTATTATAATAGTTTTATTTTTTTATTTATATGTTAAAGATATGGAAAAAATATTATATATTAGAATAACAATTTATAAAAAACATATTTAAAAAAAGAATATATATATTATATTATTATTTTAATATTATTGTTATATATATAATAATAAATAGTATGTATCTTACATTATTTGTTTTCTAAATATATTATAGTATATTATAGTATATTTAAATAGTATGTATCTTATATTATATATAATAAAAAGTAAATATGTTATATTATTGTTTTTTGATATTATTGTTATGTAATAAAAAATTATATATTTTACATTTGAATATTTATTTATATGTTAGTATATATATAAAAAAGCAAAATTTATATTTCTAAGAATAGTATTAAATAGTTTAAGAATATTTCTAATGAAAAAGACAATGATTGTATAAATGTGCAGT